GTTTCCACCTCATGGCGTCATTTTTGGAGTTGATCCCCATTTTGGGGTTAGTTTGGAGGGAAACCAACAAGGACCCCGCCGTGGAAACCGAGACTTCCCCGACTTCGCACCGCCCGTCTGGGCGCCCGCGCTCCGCCTCCTCCATCTGCTCCGCCACCTTCCGTGCCTTCGCCTGGTGGTGAGACTCGTCCGGCCGTTCGGGGCCAAAGGCCGAAGCGGAAAAAACCGGCGTGTCTTTTGCTTGGAGTTGGCGCCGTTCAAAGAGAAATCAAAGGAAATCCCTTCAATGTTGGAAGACAAAACACAAAACCAACAGGAAACCCAGCAATTTTGGTGGGCTCCCCTTTCTTTTCTTGAGACAAGCCCGTCTTTTGATGTCTCGGCCATTGGTGCAACCCATATCCGCGCCTCCGCCTTGGCCGCCTTGATGGCCTGGTTCTGCTCCCGCCGCCTCTCCTCCTCCTCCGCCTTCTGCTCGGCGAGACGCTCCTCAGGGCTGTGGGGAATGACCGCTACAACAGAAAGGGCTTCGCAAAGATTATGTTACTATGTTGGAAGAAAAAAAAGTTGGGGAAAAAAAACCTTGTATCACAGAAGTGGGGAGAAGCCCCTTGATCCAACCCTGCTCCTCAGCCAACTGCTTGCGACTCGGCTTTAGGACCCTTTGAAGGGGCTTCCCGGCCAAAAGGGGGTGATGCTCCAAAGGAGCCGGTGCCCTCCTCGCTGGCCTTCAACTTCTGGAGTCTCTTTGGAACTCTAACCCCAAAAACGTCACTGGTGAGACAGAGCCAAGTGGAGCGGGTACCTGTTTCAAATTGGTTTTCTGGGAACCAAAAAAGCAAGCCACCGTTTCCGTTTCCCCCCCCCCCCCACACGTTGACAATCCAAATGGGCATGGAGCTTTGAAGAAACTTTGGTGGACATCAAATTCCATGATGTGTCCTCTGCGTGTTTTGTTGTTTTTTTGGGGGGCCGGGGATTTTATGTCCACCACCCACTTTTCAAGGGAGTTCCCCATCAAAATCGTCGGATGGGATCTTGTTGGTTCGACAAAAACAACCCATTCGTTGGCCCTTTGTTTTTTTGGGGGGAACGCCCCCGAACAGGGACCCCTGCACGCCCGACTTTGGCTGGAGGATTGGTTTGTTCTTCTTTTGCACAAGTCTTGTTGACCGCCGCGACCGCCGGCTCAAACAAGAGACTCACCCCTGACAACCACCCTTGCGAAAGGTTTGGCCAATGCCGCGGCGCAAGACTCAGGGGAAAACAAGACCACAGCACCGGCCATCCGCGCCTTCTCGGCTCGCCGGGCTGCATCGCGCGCCGCCTTCCTGAGGTGCCCATTTAAAGGAACTTCCCCTTGGTACGGGTGGGCAGGGTTTTCTGGAAAGCAAGGGGCGACGCTATCATATGAGAATCGCTTTTTGGTCCAGGGCGTCAATCAAAACAGTTTGTTGCTCCACAGAAGCTGTCTGACGAACCGTCCTCCGAGCGGAAAGGAATGATTCTCATCTCTACTCCAGAAGCCAACGTTGTTCATTCGTGGAGCCTGATACTTTGCTACGAGCCGGGTCGCCTCGCAAAGAAGATATCATAAAGTTGGATTCCTGCAAAGACTCCCATGGTCGACCGCAGATCGCCCATGCAACATCTGAGACGCGACCTGAAGATGAAAGCCATCGATCCTTCAACGGAACAGATGCTCCAGAGCCATCGACTTTCTCCATCCCGGTCCCTTGGTCCCTTGGCCCCTTGGCCCCTTGGGTCCCCGGGCTCTTCCGCACGCTTCAGGGCCTGCTCGGCCTGGGCGGGTGAATTGGTCGCCGACTTTCAGTGGGCCCGCCCAGTTTGCAATCGCAGAGCAAGGCGCTTGCAGCTGAATGGTAGCCTCCAGGTCAGCCGAGAAAGGAAGCCCGTTTGCAAGGACCTAGGTCGGGTTTGCATCAACTCAAACTATCAGCCAGCCAAAGGCCAAAGGAGGTATCCAGTAGCTTTCCCTGAGCCCAAGCTATCTGCAATCCGGCCCCCAAAAACGGGATGGTATCGTTTGCACCGTTTTGGAGAACCTCCCGAATCATCACTTGAGTCATAATCAAAACCCGGCATTAAAATGGTTTGCCCAGAACCCTGTAAAGAAATACGAAGGCGGCCGCAGCTATTTGTGGTTGGGATTGTCCCTCACTAACCTTCATCTTTTCGGGTGTTGATTGTGTCCCCCCAGGAGCCCCCTTGGGCAGCCGGGCATACTCGCTGGTGGCGTGGGACATCTGCCGCAGGACCTGAGTCTGTGGGAGGAAAACCCGGTGGAAAACCCCGCGGGAATGCAGCGAGATGCGATGGGTGGATGGACGAAATCCATTTCGCACCACCTAAGAAAACTAGACGACGAGTGGCCCGGAAGCATAGAGGCAAGTTGATGCAGGTGAGGTAACTCTCGCAAAGTTAGCATGAGGAGTTGGCAGGCGAAGCAATTCTCAAAAAGTTGGCATGAGAAGCTGGCAGGTTAAGTAACTCTCGAATAGTTGGCTGGCAAAGTTGGCGGGTGAAGTATTTCTCGCAAAGTTGACATGAGAAGTTGGCAGGCGAAGTAACTCAAGAGAAAAGTTGGCATGAGAAGTTGGCAGGTGAAATAACTCTCAAAGAGTTGGCGTGAGTAGTTGGCAGGTGAAGTAACTCTCGAAAAGTTGGCGTGAGAAGCTGGCAGGTGAAGTAATTCTCGAAAAGTTGGCACGAGAAGATGGCGCGTGAAGTAACTCTCGAAAAGTTGGCGTGAGAAGCCGGCAGGTGAAGTAACTTTCGAAAAAGTTAGCATGAGAAGTTGGCAGGCGAAGTAAATCTCGAAAAGTTGGCGCGAGAAGTTGGCAGGCGAAGTAACTCTCGAAAAGTTGGCAGGCGATGTTGGCAGGTGAAGTACCTCTCGAAAAGTTGGCATGAGAAGCTGGCAGGTGAAGTAATTTTTCGAAAAGTTGCCCCGAGAGGTTGGCAGATAAAGTATTTCTCGAAAAGTTGGCATGAGAAGTTGGCAGGTGAAGTAATTCTCGAAAAGTTGGCAGGTGAAGTTGCCACGAGAGGTTGGCAGGTAAAGTAATTCTCGAAAAGTTGGCATGAGAAGTTGGCAGGTAAAGTAATTCTCGAAAAGTTGGCATGAGAAGCTCGCAGGTGTAGTAACTCTCGAAAAGTTGGCATGATAAGCTCGCAGGTGGAGTAACTCCTCGAAAAGTTGGCACGAGAAGTTGGCAGGTGAAGTAACTCTCGAAAAGGTGGCATGAGAAGCTGGCAGGTGAAGTAATTCTCGAAGTTTCGGCATGAGAAACTGGCAGGTGAAGTAATTAACCCTCAAAAAGCTGGAGCGGCGGAGGCGCTCCGCGTGCTACATTTGCAATATACAGTTGCGATTTTCCAGCCATTTGTATCTAAAAGTTGCGATTTTCCAGCCGGAGCTGCGGGAGCACGCTCCGCGTACTACGTCTGTACTTAAAAAGTGCGATTTCCAGCCGGAGCTGCAGCAGCCTCCGCGTACTACGTCTGTACTTAAAAGTTGCGATTTTCCAGCCGGAGCTGCAGGAGCACGCTCCGCGTACTACGTTTGTACTTAAAAGCTGCGATTTTCAAGCCGGAGCTGCCGCGGACCAGGAGGGAATCGAACCCGGGACCGCGGGATTGCGAAAGCAGGCGCGCACACCACGAGACAACTTCCAAAAGCCGTTTCGCGAGCAAGAAAATCGCACGACGCCACAGCGAGAGCGATCCGACACGCACGATCCCCGCAGAGGGGTTCACTTTCGTCTTGACAAAAAAAACTAAAAAAAAAAAAACAACACAAAAAAACAAAAAAAAAAACAAAAAAAACAAAAAAAAAAAAAAAAAATAAACAAAAAAAAAAACACAACAAAAAACAAAAAAAAAAGGAAAGAAGAAAAGAAAAAAAAAAAAAAAGCAAAACAAAAAAAAAAAAAAAAAATAAAAAAAAAAAAAAAAAAACAGGATGCGCACCCGCGCCACAGCGCGAGCCGGAGCACACGCACGATCCCCCGCAGAGGGGTTTCATCGTGCACCCGACAAATCGGCGAACCGGCGCCACAGCGAGAGCGCTTCGACACGCAGGATCTCCGCAGAGGGATCGCCAAGGTCAAGACAAATTCGCACGGCGCCACAGCGAGAGCGCTTCGACACGCACGATCTCCGCAGAGGGTTCGCCTAGGTCAAGACAAATGCGCACGGCGCCACAGCGAGAGCGCTTCGACACGCACGATCTCCGCAGAGGGTTCGCCAAGGTCAAGACAAATTCGCACGGCCACAGCGAGAGCGCTTCGACACGCAGGATCTCCGCAGAGGGTTCGCCAAGGTCAAGACAAATTCGCACGGCGCCACAGCGAGAGCGCTTCGACACGCACGATCTCCGCAGAGGGGTGCGTTTCGTAAGCTCCCGTCGGGCCTACCCCCGCCATAAACAGAAGAAGAATTAAGAGTCGAGATGTGAAGGTAGAACAGAAAAGTTAGCTTGTGTTTTTAGGATAGTGAAGTAACACCCGACAAATTAGCTTGTGCTTTTAGTAGAATGAGATAACAGCCGAAAAGTTGACATGAGAAGTTGGCAGGTGAAGTAACTCTCAACAAGTTGACATGAGAAGTAGGCAGGTGAAGTAACTCTCGACAAGTTGGCATGAGAAGTTGGCAGGTGAAGTAACTCTCGACAAGTTGGCATGAGAAGTTGGCAGGTGAAGTTGGCAGCCGCTTTTAGAAGAAGAACCCTTCGCAATGCTTCCGGGAAAAATGTGTTAACCAGTGCTGTTTGGTATTGACAGGGGAATCGAATCATTCCAGGGTTTCTTCTGCGGTGCAGGATTTCGTCCATCCACTGTATGGATAGAGACAATTTCCTGCGCCGGTGGGCAGGTGGCTTCTCCCACTATTTGTGGGGGTTCATCCATCCGAGGCGGTGCAGGATCAGGTCCATCCAGGAGTAGTGTCAAATGTGCCCCGCCCAGCACTTGGCTTCCTTTGATCTGCGAGCACTGACACGCGCATTCCATTTAATTCCCTTGAACACAAGTGCTTTGAGCACAAACAAGGGGAAGGGAGTCGAACTAACTACTGATAGCACCAAGATAACGAACTGTACTCGACCCTTGCAGGTCCAACGAATCTTGGAACTACGCGAGGCGGCCACGTGCGGGCGGACTGGACTGCCGCGTGCCTTCTAACCTAGATACAATCAGATACCACAAAACTTGTGAAAGCTTCAACCGTTCAGCAGCATCAAGCAGCAGGCGCTGTTAGTTGGAAAACGCTGAGGTTGGCATTATTCTCCACGACTTCTTGCAGCAATGACACCTTCTCACCACTCCGCGGCTTCTGAAACAGGATGGCATGACTCTCACGGCTGCTCCAAAGGCCTTTCCCCCACTGCTGGAACTGATCCTGAACCGCCCACGCCTCGCACTTCACGGGCCGCTCCTGAGCCTCCGCCGGGGCCAAATCCACGCCGCCCACGAAGACCCACGAGCTCCGCGCCGCGTTGGACGCCGCGGCCGCCGCGTTCCGCTCCGCCACCAGCGCGGAGAACCTCCGATTGCCCGCGTCCACCGCGGAGTTGTAGGACTCCACGGACAACTTCTGCGCTTCCACGAGGGCATTGTACCTCTGCACCTCCAGATTGCACGCCTCCACAGATTCGCTGCTGTACCGGTCAACACTCTGCTTGGCGGCCTCCACCTTCCTCATTTGCTGCTCCGTGGCCAGGCGCAAGGACCGGAGCCGCTCCTCCTTCTCGGCGCAGGTCTTCTTGAACTCGGCCTTTTTCAGGGCCAGCTCCTGGTCCAGCCGCTTGACCACGCCCTCTTCCTTCAAGCCCTTCTCGTGCACGGTGCGCAAGGCTGGGACCCGGTCATCCGCAAAGTCCTCTGGGATTGCATACTGAGGGATGCACTTCTCCAACATCAACCTCTTTGATTGCAAAGGACCCTCCAGCAGCCAGCGCGAAATGTCCAGAAGCACTGCCATACGCTTGCAGTGCTGCAGTTCCGGCACGAAGCGCGCGACTGCGTCATAGTGACGGCTGAGATAGTGCGCGATCTTCGTGGCTGAAGTGTGGGGTGCATCAGCGACATCCTCGTATTTGTTGGTCAGCTTGTTGAACTGCTGCGCTCGGACCTCGACACCCATCTGCACTTCTGGATGAATCAAGATGCTGTCTCTTCCCCAAGGCATTCTGACAAGCTTCCGGCAAACGATCCACAAACGGGCACATCCAGTACTTCCTTGTGCGACATCCGGAAAGTCCTGAGGCACATCGACTCCCAACTTGAGAGGTCTCTGTTGCCCCGTGGCATCATCATAAACCACTCCTTGAGCAAGCTGTTTGAGCTTCCAATCCGCCCGCCACATCCAATATCCCAGGGGGATTTCATTCAAAGCGCTGTGCGAGTACCACTTCCGTTGGTACAAGTGCGAATTGGACAGCTTGCCGTGCCAGCTTTCCGGATCCACAGGATCCAAGGAAAACGCAATGTTTCCTGACAACTGCCTTGGCAAAGTGCTGATGCAGCGTAACGTGGTCCCTATCTCCGTGGCTGTGAAGACCATGGCCTTCTCCGACAATGGCAGCTGAAAAAGAAGCCCGCTGCCACGATCAAATGAAAGGACCGAGACATCCACTGGGCTCGGTGCACGGAGCTCCTTCTCTACCTGACCTTGCTTGGTGGCTTCAAGCAACGAGTCTCTAGACGGAGGGCTGAACTCACTGAACGGAGATGCTTTGGCAGAGTGTGTCAGCAACTGCGTCACTTTGCTTCTCACTTCCCGGAGCTCGCCCTGAATAGAACTCTGGATCCAGTATGGCCCAAGCCTCACTCTTGCCTCGCGGGACCCGAACTGGGCAAAGGGGTTTGCAGCGCGGGTGTCCACTCTTGCCTTAGCTGCAACTTCGCGCTGGGCGAAAGGGTTTGCAGCCCGTGGAGCCGGCGAGCTCTGCAAACGCGGCTTTGGCACCGGAGGCTGATCAAACTTCATGGCCAAAGCTGCAGAACTTGGGCGTGAAAAATCCACAAGGCGGAAATTCCCTGATGCTGGCTAGGGAAGAAAGATTCCTAGTACAATGTAATATAACAAACCCTATTCATCGTGTGAGAAGGCAATCAAGTTGCTCGTAGGACATCTTGCACGAGGCCTGATTTTGTGTCCAAATGAGGCTCGGTGGAAGTCACCGACAAGAATCGCCAGGAGAAAGGTCTGCCTTTTGCTTGACTTCGCCTGATGTTCTGCTTTGAAGCTGCTAAGCCCATAAGCTGCGAGCATGCAATGATTCATGATGTGGCCCTGGATCATTATGGCTCAT